ACCTCGGCAAAGATCCAGGAAAGGACTGATAGGGCTTGTTTCAGTTTTCCCTAATTTGAAGGTTCTACGCACAAAACCCAAACCTAAGAACTATAAAAGTCAAGAACGAAGGCACAGATCTGGGGCAGATACAAAAAAGAGAAAAAAAGACGAAGTTTCAGATTCAAGAACAGAGGTATAGCTCTCAGAAACAATAAAGATACAGAAAAAAAAATCAAGAACAGTGGCAAAAAGAATGGTGAAAAAGTATAGAAGTTCAAGATGTAGCCATAATTCAAGGTACAAATAAATCCAAGGCTTCGAACAAGATCAGTAATGGCAACAGACAGACAAAAGCACAGAAAGAGAAATTAACATTGAAGGGAATGAATCTTACCGGAACAAGTGAAGCCGGGGCAATGTTCGCCGAGCTCAGAAATTGGTTGCAACAGCAAAGAAGGCTTCGCAAGAATGAGGGATTAAGAGCAGTTCGAGAAGAGAGATCGAAGCAATGGCGGATTCGAAGAAGAAAGAGCTTTCGGAGAGAGAAAGAGCAAGAAATGAGAATGAAAAAGTGAAGGAAAAGTAGAGGCAAAAAGAGTTTTGTCAAAAATTTGAAACGGCGGCAAAATTAGGGCAATTATTACGCCTAGAGCAACGCAGGCGTCAAACGGCGCAGACAAATGGCAGACAGCTTTCAGGCGCGTCACAGACACGCTCCGATGAAAACAAAACACATGAAAAGGAACGGTTAGAAATGCATGACAGCTCATGCGCGTGGAAAAGTACGATCGAAACCTTGTTCTCCGAAGAGAACATGTCGGCTGGAAGAGGATTATCTCGGCTAAACAGTTTTTTAGCCATTACTCAGAAAAGAAATATTGAAATATCGGTATAGGTTCCATCACCTCATAATGCCGAGGTAATAGAACCTAGGGGGCAGTTGTGAGGATATATTTTCTTAATACCAACACGTGGCATGGTGACGCCGATCAGCCGAGGTGCCACGTGTCCTGGTAGTTAAGCCGAGATGATCTCGGAGTTGCCGAGGTTATCCCCGAAGATATCGGAATCCGAGATAAGCAGATAAGGAACAAGAGTCCTAAGGCAAAGAGGGGACTTAACCAAGATAAGGATAAAGCTCTTAGGGAGTTTTATCTTTATCTCTTATAGAGTCGAGAGTAAGCAGTAAATTGGAGTTCATAGAAGTCATACTTCTAGTGGGACTTGGATTGAGTATATTATAAAAGAGAGGCACCCCCGTGGGTCTAAGGTACGCAATTTACATTTTGAGTATTCAGTTAAGCTCTATTGATTATCTTTGAGAGATATACTGACTTGATCGTCGGAGTGCCCCCGGGTGGAAGAACCACCGCCGGAGC